CGGCTGCCCGCCTGGTTGATGGCCTTGACCAGGAAGATGTAGCGGGTGCCGCTCTGCAGCCCGTGGACGGTGTAGTGGTTCTGCTTGATGTTGGGGACGATCATCCAGCTGTCCATGGAGTTGTAGAGACCTGCAGCAAGGGACGGGGAGAACTGTTTATTCACAGGAAAGGAGGGAATGCAAATATCCCGTGGTGCTGACGCAGGGTCACCGACCACGCATCCCTCAGGCTGATTTGCTGCCTGCCTGAGAGTTAAGAGCACCTGCAGGGAAACGTCCACAGATGACAAACCCCAGCAGCTCAGAGAGCCACTTCTGTTATCACACAACAGCCACGCTGGGTGAGGCAAAGTCAGGGGTGAGGCAAGATGCTGCTGTGGGAGGTGATGGGGAAAGGCTGCAGAGAACGGGGAATCCAGCCAGTGGCACCTTCCCGGCCAGGGCAGACATAGTGTGGTACCTCCAGTGGGATGGCACAGTGCCCCAGGAAGAAGAAAAGCCCCACAGGGTGTCACAGATGCTGCTGCCGCTGGCACAGCCAAGGAGAGAACACCCTGCAGCCCACAGGGTCCCTCCAGCAGCTGGAAAGGGATGCTGGGCATGCTGCGGATCCCGGGAGCCGCTCCAGCACTGGCACCACGGGGCTGGGGCAGCGAGTGCCCAGGACCATGGGCTGCAGCACAAGGCAGCTCTGGGCTCTCAGGAAACAGCTTTGGGGCAGCTACCACAGCGCGGGGCTGTTGCCTTACACCAAAAGAAGAAGAAAGAGGAAGCTCAGAAGCAGCAGCTGGAGGCTCCTCGGACCCCGTGGGTCTGGAGGCGAAGGACGACACGTGAGGAGCGGGCTGTGAGTCCAGGGTGAGTGGAGGGGGTTTGCAGCCTCCTGTCACCGGCCCGGCTGTGCCTGGAGAACACTCCACTCCTCTTTTTTAAGGCTTACACTGGGGTGTTTATTTTTCTCTGTCAGCTCGCTCAGCCCGAGGACAATGGCAGGCTGCAGTCATTGTCAGCCTGGATTTGGGTTAAAATCCACGTGGAAATGGCCTCGGGGAGCAGAGCAATTTTTTGAAGTAGAAAGCAAACCAGATGTGATACTGATTGCATCCTGCACGTAGAGGTGCTTTCATTGGAGCACGCAGCTCTCAGCCAAGCACTGTAGGTGTTATCTCCCTGCAGACACAGACCAGCTTTGGATCCTTCATTGGAAAGGACAAGGTGGCTGAGAGACAACAGCAAAGCAATTATTTGGCCTTCCAAGCATGTTTCTTTCCCAAAACAACCAAGAAGGGGTTGGCCTTGAAGACTATGGGTTTCTATCCTTGCCAAAGCTTGAAAAATTCCTTTTCATTGCAGCTTTTGTCATCCATAAAAATGTCCAACTCCTGCCAAGCTGTCAGCTTTGAAGAGAGCACAAAGGGGATGGTTTCCACCAGCCAACCGTGTGCTCTTGGCCAAGGCATCTCCTTCCACGGGAAGCCCCCTGTGCTCGTGCTCGGTGAGCCCTTGTGCAGCCTTCCTGGTGTCTCCTCACGCCCGAGTTCAGCCAGGCCTCCAGCTCCCACCACCCAGACCTGGCTGTGTTATTTCAAGTGACAATCTATTATTCATTTTCTCCTCTGAGATGTTAACTGATGTTTTCTTTCCTCCTCCTATGAGGAGCTACTGAAGATGGCCAAGGCAGACGCTCCTGACGTGTGGCCCCCGGGGCTTTCCTCCAGAGCTGCCCTCGTGTTCATTACCCTGCAGTTTCCATGGTCCCACCCTTCTAACACCCATGCCAAACCCCCACACCCCTTCAAATGGGGGTAGGTGACTAATCCCAAGCCCCACAATGGACTGGAGTTCCAGCCACATGCCCAAAGTGGCACATGGGGAGAGGTGGGAGCCAGACCCTTCCCTGAGGGGCCTCACCACAGCCCCAGGGCAAGGGCACAAGTTGCAGTGGGAGAAAACCTGATCAGACAGGAAAAGACTCCTCTAGCTGAGGGTGGTGAAGCACTGGAGCAGAGCCCTGAGAGCTGGGGACTCCCCATCCTTGAAGCTGCTTGCTGCTCAAGAAGCAAGCCCTGAGCAGCCTGACTGAGCTCTAAGACCAGCTTACACAGAGCTGGTGGAAAGACCTTCAGACCCCTCCCCACCTAAACAACTCGGTGATACCAGCTTGGTCCACACTTCTTCCTCACCTGGCAGGCGCAAGGGAGGTGGGGGCTGGTGGCCATCTAAGAATGGACCCCAAAACATTGCTGAGCTCTCCAAGGCTTTCAGAGAGCTACAAAAGACTGGAGACAACACGTTGTGGCTGTGGGAGCAGAGGAAAGCTGAGCAGGGGACATCTCACTGGTGGGGCACCCAGCGCCAGCCTCTGACCGAGAGGAAATAAATCATCTTGTTTTCTGAAACGAGGGCAAAGGCTGGGGAAGCACATTCAATCAGCCTGGAAAGTCACAGGCAGTAACTTTCTCTGGCAGCTTCCTGCAGTCTTTAAAGTGCACTCGCCAGCCTTCCTGTGCCACGACACCACACTTCCTCCTGAGCCCCGAGACAAACCACCCCAAACGCCTGCTCTGAACCCTCTGGTCAGCACTTCCTACAACAGCAACTGCTACTACAGATAACCAGGAATAAAACTTCCTTGCACAAGCTGTGCTGTGGTCTTCCAAAGCACCACCTCAGCACAGACAAACTGGAAGCTGCATTTTGATTCCCCCACTACAATATTCATACCTCTTTCTCATACCAAAGGAGCAGTTTCCCTGGACTCTCCTGTCATGGAGTCCACAGGATGAGCTCTCCTCCAGAACACAAACCCCTCTGATTGTAGGGACAAGGCAGCGTTATGAGAAATCACAACTGGGTCACATTTCTGACACCTCGAGGACCCACCAGGCACCCGAAGGTGAGCAGCAGCTGAGACTGCAAACAGCCCTTGGCTTATGGCTGAACTGCTCCTCTCTCTCTGCAGACACCTGAGGAACCCCCTGTCCTGAGAGCACAACCCAAGCAGCTTTTCCTTCACTGCTCTGTGCTCCATGGCACTCTGGCAGCAGGACCAGCAGCAGGGCACATCCCTTCCAAGTCACCCCAGCCACCAGCTTGCTTTCTCCTGCCACTCTGGTTGAACACAAACCACATCTCTGAGGGTGCCTTGCAAACAAGCAGCCATGCACCATGCAGGCACCTCTGGATCCCATTACCCACCTCCCCAGATAGTGGAGCCAGCTCTTCAATACACTGTTACAATATCTCTAATGTTATAAATCCCATAACTACCCCAGTCTTTATCAAGTAACAAATATGGAGCAGGGAGCTCTGCATCTAAGAGGTTGATCTCCTGACCTCGTGGCAAGCCTGGGGGCAGGCTCAGCCCTACGAAACTGTTCTAAAGCTCTCCTGTTGCACTAGAAGATATCATGGCATGGAAAATATTCTGAGCACCAGTGTCCTTAGAGCCCAGGCTCTCCCAGAGCAGCTGGATGCTGTGACCTGAGCCCCAGGTCCCTCGCTGTCTGAGCACAGCTTGTCCCAGGTGAAGAGGTACCACCACAGACCCCCAGCAAGAGCCCACCTCAGTCCACAAATCCCATTCCTGCCAAGAAAAATTGTGGTGGTGTGGAAAAATAATGAGGTATGGAAGTTATTTTCAGGAAAAATTACCTGGAGACATGACTCAATGTTGTTACAGAGGGTACATAAATCACACTTAATTACCAGCCCACAGAGCAGCCCTGCCCACAGGGTCCCAGGCACAGTGTGAGATGTCCAGCCCTGGCAGCTCTGAGATGGATGAGACCCTGGAATGGACCAGAGGCTTCCCGGAGCCAGAGGCTGCAGGCACCGAGTGCAGGGCTCAGTTATGGGCACCCTGCTCGGGGGGTGCTCCCTCGTTTCGGCTGCAGCCCTGAGGGGAGTCCTCAGAGGACCCTTCGCTGTGGTCTCCTCCCCTCGTGCCCAGCCTCGCACCCTGCTGGCTCTGCCCCAGAGCCTCCTCCCCCGGCCCCGCCCACGCAGGACTCACTGAGGAAGGTGGCCTGGCCGGTGTAGATGGTGTACTGCAGCTCGTAGGAGCTGACGCTGAACTCGTCCTCCGAGCTCCAGTGCACGGTGATGGTGTCGTGGGAGGCTGTGCAGAGCTCCTCCCGGACGGCCGGCGGGTTGGGCGCTGCGGGGAGCACAGACAGATCTCTGGTACCCCCTGCCCCGGCCCTCACCCGCCCCAGCACCCACACGGGCTCAGTGGGGAGCAGAGCCTCTCCACACAAAGGGTCTCATGTTATCTGTCACTTCCCACTTGGCTTTTTAGCACCATCCCAAAACACCCCCGGGGCAGTGTGCTTTCAGGGCTCTGCTGCTGCCTCCATCAGGTCTGACACCACCCCCAAAAACAAGCTCAGAAGCCACCTCAAAAATCCACCTACTTCTTGGCACTGGCTGTGGAATAAGTATCTTGCCCCAGGACTGTCCCAGACACGCATTTGTTGTTAGCCTTTCACTGGAAGCTGAGCTGCTTCACAATGAAGAAAACGGGATTTGGTGGCGATGTCCTCGGGTCTCCAGAGCCTCCCTCCCTGCCCTGCTCTCCTGGCACACGCTGGCTGTGGCAGAGCTGCCCCTGGACACCACACATCACCCCGGGCGAGGGGACAGCCACGGCCAGCCTGTCCCAGGGGCATCAGGGCAGCACCAAGAGCCCAGCAAGGTCTCTGCCCACAGAGTTCATCACTCAGCACCAAAAGGGGAGCAAAGGGGAAACACTAAAGCGTGCAGTGCATTAGGAGTACAATAACAGGTTAATTCACTGCTCCCTCCCTGTAATCTGCCCTCTCAGATCCTCATGGGCATCAGCCTCCTCCTCCTCCTCCTCAGGCTGTGGAGACCATCGTGTTTGACCTGCCAGCCCTCGGCGGGGTGCAGGGGAGGGGGCTGCAGGGGAGATAACTAACTCACCAGTTAGATAATCCAGTCCCTCCAGCAGCTTCTTCTCTCTGGAAAAATCTAAAGCAAAGTTTTCAAAGGCATCATTAAAATTGATATCTGGTATCAGAACTTGAGAGGATGCAGTTGCCATGGCGACCCTGAAAGAAAAGACAAGACCATCAATAGGCGCCAGGGCGCAGGCGGCTCCGGCACCAGCGAGCTGGGGATTGAAAGGGGGTGAGCAGCCCTGTGGAAGCCAGCTCGCACCACCCAGCCCCTGCTCCTGCCCCGGGAGGGTGGCCCAGCCTGGGGACAGGTCCCCACAGAGCTGGGGGACCCATCCTGTGAGGGATAGGAACCGCTGACACCCGGGTCCTGGGGTTTATCGGAGGGGAGCACGCTGGAGGAGGCATGGGGGCAGAGGGGGTGTCCCTGGGCAGGGTCCTGTGAGCAGGGGACAGCTCGGGGCACACCCCAGCAGTGTTGGGGCCAAGCCCACCTCTCGGCCACGTTCCTGGCTGTCTGCAGGAACCGTGCGTGGTCGTTCTCCTTCAGGATGTGCTCGGCCTGGTTGATGAGGACGGTGGAGCGCTCGAGACACTGCCGGCAGTTAGCGACCTGCTGGGCCAGCTTCCGCAGCTTCATCACCTGCGGGAGGAGCAGAGGGAAGCCAAGGGGCTCACAAACCAGCGTGCAGCTTGGGAGGCACTGAGGAAGCCCCATCCTGAGCCAGGGGCTGCTGAGGGGAAGCAAAGAGCGGTGAAATGGCACCGAAACATCCCCAAAGGTGCTGGGCAGGGAGAGCAGCAATGGACTGCCCATGTGAAATTCTGCTTGCAGGTGGGGATCATAGAGTCACAGACTGGTTTGGGTGGGAAGGGACCTTCCAAGCTCATCTCATCCAAACCCCCTGCAGGGAGCAGGGACATCTGCAGCTAGAGCAGGGTGCTCAGAGCTCCAT